TTCCCATCTAATTTTACTAGTTTCTGTCACCAAATGTTGAATTTACTAGTTTTCTTTAGGAAAAAAATCGATAATTGCATCACAAAGGTGCAAAAAACTTTGATATATACGAAAAACGATCTTTATTAAAACTTCACAAGAATAAATAGTGCTCCTTTTGTCCCAAAAAATGAACACTTTCTGTTTGTTTTTTTTTGCAGTGCTTTGAGGGATCATCGATTCCCTCCCATACAAGCTAAAGAGTTACCATTATTGCAATGTACAGTTTCAATTCTTGCTAATTATGAAAATGCTACTAATTATCTCGATTGGGAGGTATGTTTTAATTTTTATATAAAAAAATTGTAAAAAAAAAAAAGTTACATTAAATGGTTTAAAGTATCCATGTATGTTATTTTGCAGGTAGGAAAACATGGTATAATTATCGAGTTTACTGATCCAGACTATAACACCAAGCGAAGTGCCACATACCTACCTGAAGTGGCAGCTCAAGAAGGTTATATTTTGTCAATTTGGGTTTTTAAAGGGTTCAAATTGTAAATTTTATCTAACTAAGAGACAAGTCATATGGTTTAAAATATCACTCATAACTTATGAGTGTTTTATGATAAAATACGGGATCTTGATTATAGTTTTTCTACTCATTTTTTTATTTTAAAAAAGGGCAAATTACGAAAAAAAAAAATGTTGGTGTATCAACCAAACCTAATCTTACATGTTTTGTGTATTGTGGCACGTGTAATTAAACAATATAATGGATTAATTTTTGATGTTTTTTTTGTTAATTAGGTTGGACAGTAATTGAAGCAATTGATTCTTTGATGAAGAAAGCTGGTTACAATGGTGCGATTAATGACTCGGTGAGGAATCGTATTCGACTGACTCGTTATCAGAGCACGTTGTTCACTATGCACTACAGTGATTATGTTAACTATGTGAAAACGACAAGAGGTGTTGCACCCTCTGTTGTGGGCCTTAAAGCCCATTAAGCTCTTCCATCACTTTAAAGTTTAAACTCATTGGTTTCCATAATAAACTTATTTTGGTCCTTTGAACAAAAAGTATGTATTTATTTGTGTTCTTCAAGTTAATGTAATGATGGTACTTATTTATGTGAAGTTATCTGTTTTTTTATATTTAAGGTTGAATTGGTATTTAAGGTTGAGTACTAACTACTAAACAACCTGCCAATCCGTGTTTGTGTGTCGTGTATTCATGTCAGACACGAATTTACACAACATGAATTTGTTAAACACGATCAAAATACGAATTATAAAATATGTTTGGGGTATCAAACATGAACACGACACGTACAAAAATTCTTGTGACATGTAACACGACACGAATAGACATTTTTTTAGCCGTGTTACACGAAAACACAAAAAGAAATGTTTTTAATGACTTTTTTTAAGCTAGGGCTATAAATGAATTATTGACTTTTACCAAATTTGTCCTTAATATATTATAAATATAAAATTTAGCCATAAAGTATATATGTGTATAAATGTGTTTATACATGTTTGTACGTGTCAACACGAATTTATATCATATCTTATACGTGTCTAAACAAGTAAATTCATGTTTGACACGTATAAGACACGAAAAACGAATTTAAAATATGTATCAGACATGAATAATCATGAAACATGAATTTCTAAAATACATACACGAAAAACTCGTATTGTGTATCAAATTGTCAGGTCTAGTACTGCTAAAGTCTGACTATGAGGACTTTTAACCCACAACTCCGCAACTGACTACTTATTGAAATGAAACACCGAACATTTAAGGCTATTGACTGAAAGATAGATTTCTAATAAGTAAAAATTTCTAATACCCCTCTTTCAGAGGGAAAAAAAAAACACAGCTTCTAATACCAGTAGGCCATAATCTTTTTGGTTTATGTTGGGTTAAAATTAGGTAATCTTTACTAACTATGCCTCAAGTGTGTTGCCCTAGGTTGGATATGCTCTTTACCCTAATCCAAGTGGTAGCAAATTTTTAACTAACATGCACCATATTAGGATCAATGTTAATGAGATAAAAGTTAGTAATTTTCTATTCTTTTAAAAAAGGTAAAATAAAGATCAAAAACTCCTTCGTCTAGAAAAAAACATGAATAATGTCATCTTTTTCGTGAAAATAACACCAGGAAACTTGTTAAGTTATGGCATATGTGTCTTACGCAACCTAAGAGTGATCTTTCAAATAAACAAATCTAACTTATCGAGTTAAGTATTTTTCAAATTGTGGTAACTTGGTAAGACATGTAGAAAATATGATGGATAACTTATTGATCCGTACTCAAATCTTGACACTACTCATACCCTATGGCCATAAAGATTCATTTATAGTGACTTCAAAACAGCCATCCCGAAAATCATCGTTAAATAAATTGTTTTCCAATTTTTTTTATTTATTTTATTATTATTATTATTATTATTATTATTATTATTATTATTTTTTATTTATGGATTTTCTAAAAGTAGCTACTTAGTTCTTTGAGCCCACCTACGTAATTAGCAAATGGTAATGAGCTAGGAGATCTTCATAACGTGGTGCTCCCATATACAAGACATTTTTTTCGTTAACATAGTTTTTGTAAAATCTCTTGATATAAGACTTTATTTTAACAATATTATTTTTTCTGTGAAAATGCTCTTTAAAGATTTATACAACAAAAAAACTTCAAAAAGCACGTTTTCTTTACAAAAATACCCAAGATTTTAGCAGTTCAAATGTAATTTCTCTAGTCAAACTTATCTTTTTATCTGTTGTTCTTCATCACATTTGTCATGTTTGGTGACTTAGTTAAAACCCATTTTGTGACCATATACATAGATAGATAAGTACACACTACTTGGTTCAATACTTCAATCCTACAAAAAAGATACACTTTTAAGATCAAATCTTAATAAACAAAGCGTTTTGTGTAGCAAATATGGCAAACATAGATGTGGATAATCATCAAGAGAGAAGTGACATGATTCACAAACCAAAATTAATCAGACTCATGGCGTCTCTTCCCCTTGTCTCTCTTGTGTCTCCTGTCATCATCATCATCACCACGCCTTTTCTCTCTCCTCTCATGTTTCCTCTCATCTCTCTTTTCATACTTTTCATGTTTCCTTTCTTCTCTTCTTTCATGCTTTTCTTTTTTCTTTTCTTCACGTCTTCTTTTCTTCTTGCTGCTCTCATCTTCAGAATCTTCCTTTGAATCTCCTCTTACAGATGGAGCTTCAGACACATTTGCATTTGCACTTTTGGGTGCCTCCATTGTCACCACAGGCTGCAAAGAACTTGACTCTTCCCATGCTTTAGGTGCCCTGTAGTATAATTTCAAAGAAAGGTTGAATCTTTACAACCCTAAAAACACAAATAACACACTCATCTTTGCAAGAATTGACATTTTAGACTTTAGTGTTATGGATTAGAAACTTACTTGGCAAAACCAAGACCTTGAACATGAGCAGCTTCAGCATGACCTGCTCCCAAGTCTTCAGCAGTAGACCCTCTCTTCACAAGTTCAGAAAACTCATGTTTATCAAGTCTATTAGTTTGAGGTTTTGAAGAACGCTTTGGAGCTAAACCTAAAGCTTCCCTCATAGCCTGCTCTTCTTCTTCCTTGATCCTTTTTATCTCTTCTTTAGCTGCTTCCATGTCTGCTTCTTTTGACTTTTTATCTTTAGAATACCAGTGTAGATCCTTTCCTGTTGTTCAAGGTTACATGTATATTAATGGAAACCCCTAAAAGATCTATTTGACTACTTTTCAATATTACAACTAAAGAATGAAAGACTAACCTTTCTGCCATCTTCCTACAGGAGCCTTGAGACTGTGACCAATATAGTTTTCTCTGTATTTATCAACCTTTACATCATCCCAGTTGAATTCTGCACATTAGTAACATAAATCATGTTAATATAAGTTTTAGAAGATTCTTATTCTATAGGATGAACATCTTAGTTTACTACTTTCCTACAAATCCATCCAAATATCAGCGTATTGAGTTATTTCACAAAACTTGCGATAAACAATTTTCAATAACTCTTCTTTAAAGTGTCGAATGATTTCGAAAGATGAACAAATTCCCAAACATTCATCCTATTATATACGTCCTAGATACCAGATCGATTAAGAAACATTAATCATGTAATGTCGCGGAATCAATTCACCTAATTTTCGGAGATACACAGATGAACATAAGAAAAATATACTAAACTTAGGTCATAACTGATTTCAAAACCCTAAAAAGCAAAAGATGAGGCTGAACTTACGATCTCGACCACCACGCACACCACCTCTGGAAGGATGATACATAGTCGCTATAAACTTCAAATCGCAGGAGAAGATCGAAAAAATCTAGCAATTTCGCTCGTCCAAATTCTGAAAGAGGTATTGATTTTGAGAATTTGCATTTGTGTGTTATCGAGGATTTGTTATTAAAAACAGTTAGTTACAGAAAATACCCTGTAGTTATGTATGCTTTACGAATAAGGTCCTTTAAGGACTGATTTTACGCTTTTAATAATTTTTTTTCCTTACTATGACAAGGTTGATGGGATAATAACAATTTCAAAGGTGTAATATTACTAAATGATAAATGCTTTTTAAAACTACAAGAAAATATTCATTTATTTTATAAAATATTTTAAGCTTTGCCAAATTACGTTATGAATGGTGCTGCTATTAAAAACCTAATTTGCTATTGCTTTCGCAATGTAAATTAAAAAAAACAAATAATTTTGTAAAATATAAATTATTATTTTGCAAAATGGATCATTGATCAATTTCATAAACTATAAACGATTATTTTGTATAACAATAAGATTTTCTCTAAAATGGTAAAAAGTAATTATAAAGTATTAAAATAAGTTTCATTAAAAAAATTAAAAAAATAAGTTTCATCCAAGTTATTTTACCAAGATGTATATTTATTTTAGTGATGTTAAATTTCTTTCTAAAAAGACGAATCACGAGTTGAATCGGGCGAGTCCAAGGTCGGTTAGGGCAGCGTATAAATGGAATTCGTGAAGGTTATAGCCGCCATTTATCGACACGCTTTCTTCTGCTAAACGCAAACCAGAGGAAACTAGCGAAAATGGAGAACGGCAATCACAAAGAAGTCCCCGACAACGCCAACGAACGTAGGGTTAACACTTAACACCACTTCTTTTACCTCCTTATTGTTCAATCAATTACTTTTCCCATTGATTCTGACCTAATTGATTCAATTTTTGTTTGCTCCGGTTTCAGATTGCCCCGGGACAGAAGCAGAAGATGCCGGAAAAGCCGATGCTTGCGCCGGTTGCCCTAATCAAGAAGCTTGTGCTACTGCTCCTAAAGGCCCCGATCCAGGTACTCTTTGTTTGTACTTTGTATACCGACTCACATATGTACAGCTTAATCGTTGTTCTTCATATTCGATTTTCAATTCGTTAAACGTGTTTTTCCTAATCGAATAGTCTCATTTTCCTTGCATAGATTTGGTAGCAATTGCAGAACGAATGGCTACAGTAAAGCACAAGATCCTGATTTTATCCGGTAAAGGCGGTGTAGGCAAAAGCACATTCTCAGCTCAACTCTCATTCGCACTAGCAGCTATGGATCATCAAGTAGGTCTACTCGACATCGACATATGTGGCCCAAGCATCCCAAAAATGCTCGGTTTAGAAGGCCAAGAGATTCACCAAAGCAACCTAGGTTGGTCCCCTGTGTATGTCGATTCCATCGGAGTCATGTCAATCGGATTCATGCTTCCAGATCCAGATGACGCCGTTATCTGGAGAGGCCCTCGCAAGAATGGAATCATCAAACAGTTCCTCAAAGACGTTTACTGGGGCGAACTTGATTTCCTTGTAGTTGACGCCCCACCAGGTACCTCAGATGAACATATCTCAATCGTCCAATTCCTCAAAGAAACAGGAATCGATGGAGCCATTATTGTCACCACTCCACAACAAGTTTCTTTGATTGATGTCAGAAAGGAGGTGAGTTTCTGTAAGAAAGTTGGAATCCCAGTTCTTGGTGTTGTAGAGAACATGAGTGGATTGTCTCAACCTGTGACTGATTTCAAGTATGTGAGACAATTGAAGAATGGAGAACAAGAAGATGTTACAGAATGGGCTTTGAAGGTGATGAGGGAGAAAGCACCGGAGTTGTTGGATTTGGTTGCGTGTAGTGAGGTGTTTGATAGTAGTGGTGGAGGTGCTGCAAGGATGTGTGTTGAAATGGGTGTTCCTTTTCTTGGGAAAGTGCCTTTGGATCCGAAGTTATGTAAAGCTGCTGAAGAAGGTAAGTCTTGTTTTGTTGGTAATGAATGTGGTGTTAGTGCTCCTGCACTTTCTGCGATTATTAGTAAATTGCTGAAAAATAACATGTTTGCCTAATCAGAAAATGGTGTCGTTTTGAGTAGTTTCATCATCTGATTCTGGTTGTTTGTTGCAATCATTAGGATGCTACTTATGTGAATTTTGATATTTTTGATTCACAGAAAATTATGGTTATCTATTTGTATTTTGTCCTCTACTATCTAGAAAAGAGTTCCACATGTATATCGTCTTTGTACTAGTGAATAAAACATACAAAACTTCTGTTTACCATGCAAAATTAATTTAATAGTCAAATGGGAATGGGGAGTTTAACTGTGTGTTCCGGAGTTTAATAAAGGAAAGAAAAGTAAGGGAGGAAATTTAAGCAAATGTTGCGAATTCGGTCTTCAATACGAGTATAAGTGATCAGGTGTTGGCGATGTCGTTTAAAACTGATGTTGCCACGATTCAGAAGATTAAACAGATCAATTCTAACGATTTCAAATACAACAATAAGAGAAAATTGTAAATTTAACAAAATATACTAAATACTTTGTGGGAAATAGCAAAAAAAAAAAAACAAAAAACAAAAAACAAAACAAAATTGTATTTTTAGCCACTAAAATCGCAGAGGAGTATAATCCATCTGCAATTTCGTCATGCCCTCTGTGAACGTACAAGTGGCTAAGTACATATATGTTTTAGCCACTTGTATGTTCGCACACCCCATTTTCCAGCCTAAAATCGTAGATGGATTATATCCATCTGCGATTTCCTCTCTTATTCACCTGGTAATAGAATTTGACTACGAAACAATCTTATTATATATCAATTTTTTCAAAAAGTTATCCTTTTTTACTACGAAATTGATAGGGTTTGAAGAAATCGTCCATGATGGCTCTAAGGAAATCGCAGATAGAAAGGGTTTCTCTAAAAAAGATACAGATGGAAATGCGAAATCGCAGATGGACTTAATCCATCTGCGATTTTAAGGGTTAATTTTGTAATTTAAGTTTTTTTTTTGGTATTTTTTACAAAGTAATTAGTAAATTTGGCTGAATTTGCAATTTTCTCCAATAATAATGCAAATGAGCAGAACCAATTTATATGGTTCACACTGTAACACCCATAAAATCTGCCAAATTTGAACTTTTAAAAACATTTCAAAACCATTAAATCACTGCAAACTTGTTTTCAAAATGTATAATATCAGAGTTTTCCCAAAAACAAAAACAAAACATGAGGAGTAGTACGATCACGCCTTTGCCTTTCCGCGATCCCCTGATGTACCTGAAACAATAAACTGAAACTGTAAGCCTGAAAGCTTAGTGAGTTCCTCCAAAACACTGATACACTGCACATAATACATATACAAATAACATGTATTGGTCCACAACTTTATAGACTGGATTACTCCTAGGCCTATAGCGTGAGTCTGGATTGCCTTCCGGGCCCACATTTCACATCTGGATTGCCATCGAGCTCACAATACGAGTCTCCCTCAACTCGTATCTGGAATGCTCCCGGGTTTGTTGGTTACCGCACAGAGCAGTATCACCTCAACCCATCCCACATAATATGTCGACATATCACAACTAATGCACATATAGATAATCACATAATACCACATGTAGTCCTACAGATCTACCTAAATGTAATAGCAACTAACACGCAAGACTAACTCATACTCAACATACTACCAACTGCTAGGATATCATATCCAATGGGCCGGCCTTGGTGCCTTAGACCCCTTAGTATAGTGAGGTAACTCACATCTCAACTGTCGACTCGAAAGATAAGCTCAAACTCTCGGATCACCGCCACAAACTCCACCACCTATATTCACCATAGAACCATACTCATAAATTTCCAATTTCCCAAAATGCCCCAGAAGTCAATTAGCCAACCCTTGGTCAAAGTCAACAGTCAACAGTCCATGTTGACCCGACTCGTCGAGTGCAATCATTGACTCGTCGAGTCCTTCCAGAAATCGAGTAGTTGTGAAATCCCCCCCCGCTACTGACTCGTCGAGTTCAAGCGTGTCTAAAAGTGGGGAAACCCAAGTTGACTCGCCGAGTCACCCCACTGACTCGCCGAATCCATGTAGAAGTCCTTGCACGAAAATCTTCATCGGACTCACCGAGTTTTCCATGCAACTCGTCGTGTCCCTTCAGTCCATTATCTATTAAGATGCTTTTAAGCCATTTTAAGGTTCCATACTACAGATCCAGCTTCCCAATGCATGTTTATCACGTAAAGCTGCAAACTTTACGTGTATGTAAGGCTCTAAAGTCTTATAATGTCAAAACCAAGCTTGTAATGGAGTTTTACACTTAAGGAGAGGTTCATACTTGCTAAAGTTGAAAGCTTTATGGACTTAGAGACCAAAGAGAGTTCAGATCTGAAGTTAAAACTTCAGATCTTAGCTCATACCCAAGAATAACTTATTAATATGCTAGAAAAGCCCTAATCTTTAACCAAATGAGATCTAGAAGGAAATGAGGTCAAGGTAACGACTTGATACCTTCCAAAAGATGCTAACTGAGGTAGATATCAGATCCCCACATGTTCCTTGCTTCTAGTCACTTGCTCTCTAAGCTCTTCTCACTAAGATCCTCATTCCAAAGCTTAAAACACACAAGGATGGATCACACATACAAATTAGGGTTTGTTGGACTCTCAAGAGGATGTAAGGGGGCTAAAGGAGGCTAATGATCTTTTAAATAGGGTGCAAAACCCCAAAAATTAGGGTTTCATCCCAGGGCCGGTCCAGACGGTAGGCAACCCGGGCGACCGCCCTGGGCCCATGTTTCCAGGGGGCCCAAAATTTATGGGATATGTAGTGGATATTATTAAAAAAAAATTATTACCTAAATCATTTTTTGGGTGTAAATTTGGTTCAAATTCAAATTAGCTCAAAAGATAAACACTTCGGCTTGCTTGTTATTGTTGATTGAACACGTCTATACCGAAGAATAAATGATATTTTTTGTAATCTTTATTTTATTCTTATTTGAGGGGTCATTTTTTATTTTCTTTGCGCCTCGGGCCTCACATACGTTTGGACCGACCCTGTTTCATCCTCCAACTCCTACTCTTCGAGTCCTATCTTGGACTCATCGAGTAGGTCAGTTAAACATGTGGCCCAATTCGCTTCTACTCGACGAGTCAGGGCATCCAACTCCTCGAGTAGACCTTGCAATTATGAAAATTAAACCCACAAAATTATCACCTGAGATTCGGGGCGTTACAATTCCCCCCACTTGAACTGGACTTCGTCCTCGAAGTCTGCTGTGGTGAACAACCCAGGATAGTGCTCTCGCATTTTCGCCTCCGGCTCCCACGTCCACTTGGACTCTCTTCGGTGCTCCCACTGTACCTTTACCAAAGATATCTCTTTGTTCCGTAGAACCTTCACCTTCCTGTCCAGAATGGCCACGGGCCTCTCAACATAATTCAGGCGCTCATCGACCTGAATGTCATCCAATGATACTACTGCCTCCTCATCCAGAATGCACTTTTGTAATTGCGAAACATGAAAGTTGTTGTGGATTCGACTGAGCTCCTCTGGTAGCTCTAACATGTATGCTACCTTGCCAACCCTGGCAACGATCCTGAACGACCTAATGTATCGGGGACCCAAGTTCCCCCTCTTCCTGAAGCGGATCACACTCTTCCAGGGCGAGACCTTCAGGAGTACCATGTCACCGACCTGGAACTCTAACTTTGATCGACGTCTGCCAGCGTAACTCTTCTGTCGACTCTGAGCGGTCTGCAGCCGCTGCCTAATCTGCTGAATCTTCTCGGTAGTCTGCAAGACTACTTATGTCCGCCCATCACCCTATGTCCGACCTCACCCCAAAAAACAGAGGTGCGATATCTCCGACCATACAACAGCTTGAAAGGTGGTGCGTAGTGCTGAAATGATAATTGTTATTGTAGGCGAACTCTGCAAGGGGTAGGTGGGAACCCCAACTCCTACCGCAGTCAATGACACACGTCCTCAACATATTCTCGAGGGTCTGAATGGTCCGATCGCTCTGACCATCGGTTTGCGGATGAAATGTTGTGCTAAAATGCAGCCGCGTGCCCAGTTCCTCGTGGAACTTCTGCCAAAAACAGGAGGTAAATCTAACATATCGGTCGGAAACAATGGAGACCGGGACCCCATGGCGAGCGAAGATCTCGCGAACATACACGTCGGCCAACATCTCGGCCGATGAACTCTCCCGTATAGCCAAGAAATGGGCACTCTTGGTCAATCGATCCACGATGACCCATATAGCATCAAACCCCTTCGCTGTCCTTGGTAGTTTGGTAATGAAAATCGTGATCTGTTCCCATTTCCACATGGGAATCTCTAGGGGTTGCAGCATACCATGCGGCCTCAGATGCTCGGCCTTGACCATCCTACAGGTCAAGCACCTCTCGACGTACCAAGCGATCTCTCGCTTCATACACGGCCACCAGTAACTCAAACTCAGGTCTCTGTACATCTTGGTGTCCCTCAGGTGAATAGAGAAGTGAGACTTGTGAGCTTCCTCCATGACTGTCTGTCTGACCCCACTAGACATCGGAACCCATACTTGACCACATCGGGTCAATAATCCCTGACTATCCTCCTCAAACTGGGTGCTCTCACCCCTGATCCTCTCTAGCTTCCAGTTCTCTGGTCGCATTCCCTCGACCTGAGCATCTCTGATCAAACTCACAAGCAGAGAATCCACCTCTATCCTCATACATATCGTTGGGGTGGAAGACCCAGCTGACTTGTGACTCAAAGCATCTACCACCACACTCGCTTTATTGGGGTGGTAAAGGATCTCGCAATCGTAGTCCTTGATTACATCCAGCCACGTGCGCTGCCTTATATTCAGGTTCTGCTGATCCATGATGTGTCTCAAGCTCTTGTGATCCGTGTATATGGTACAACGGACCCTATATAGGTAATGCATCCAAATCTTGAGAGTGAATACCACTGCCCCCAACTCCAGATCATGCATAGGGTATCTCGTCTCATGCGACTTCAGCTGCCGCGATACGTACGGTATCACTCGTCCTCTCTGCATGAGGACCGCCCCCAAACCTGTGATGGATGCATCATAGAACACCACAAA